CTTTATGCGGTTGAGCTGGATCTTACAATTAATGCTTAAATTTTCGATGTGAATTTATATACATATCCAATTCTGCAAATGCGCTCCGAAATATTTTCAGTCTTAAAACGAATTTATTACAATATCAGAATAGCAATATCACAATTAAATTAACTAACAATTAATATAATATTAATGCTAATGTAAAAAATCAAATCAAATGTATATGCAAGTAAGACCCATGAGTCAATTCCCTGTAGATTTGCTAGATTGCTACCAACTTAATTTGTTATTGTTTGCAAGCAATCTTGGCGGATCATCCAGCGTCACAAAAAACGTTTTTAAATTAATATATCTAATAAATACATTACAATATTATGTTATCAGTAATAAAATGTGTAATAAGTAATCAAATATATATAAATAAAATATACCGTAATTTACTTGCTGATTATTTGCTAATTACAGAACCTTCTTTATCAATAATTACTTAACATTTATTGCTTTATTAAGGAACTTTGCCGCACAGGGCTGGTCAAAGCGTGGGGCTGAATGCGGTGCATACCCTAAATTCAGTGGCAAGTCCCTAAATTCGGCCCTGGGTGGTTACTTTTACAAATTTTGAAATTTAATCGATACATCCTCTTAAAGTGGTTCAACATCTCAATAAAATAACACCAAATTTTTTTCAGATTTTTTGAACAATTCTAACCCGTACTACTGGGGCACGGGTAAATGGAAAAGCAGCTTTGTGGACAAAATTCGGCCGACGCTCTAATTCTTAACCAATTTTAAGGTTTTTTTTTAATTTGCTCAAAATTGAATGCACTGTAAGCCCATTTTGTGTAAATTTTTATTATGGTTTAAATTAAAAATTGCCGATTCAGTATTCGTTATAGTATAATTTTATTCTTTTTTGCTTACTACATTGTATCGGCAATTTTTATTTTCGACAGTCAATCAAAATTTACGGAAATTGGGCTTTAAGCTCATTCAATTTCAAGCAAATTTAAAAAAAGAACTTTAAAATTGGTTAAGAATTAGAGTATTTGCCGAATTTTGTCCACACAGATGCAATTTTCTTCCTACCCGTGCCCTGATGGTACGGGTTAAAATTATTCAAAAGATCTAAAAAAATTCTGATGTTATTTTTTTGAAAACAAGAGATGTAAAGGGCATCTACCACGAGCGCTCGATGTCTTATAGCGAAACTTCTTTCGAAGTCAAGAAAAAAACTCAATCTTGAATTGTATATTATTCTGCGTTATTTATATTTATATACTGATGATGACCCAATAGTAGGTCGAAACGTCTAGTAATTATTTAATTTAATTTAATGTAATTTTAAGTAATGACTTCGAAAGAAATTTCGCTATAAGACATCGAGCGCTCGTTGTAGATGCCCTTTATCTCTCTTGTTTTTAAATTTTGACCATGTATTGACATTTAATATTTATTTTTTTGAGATATTGAACTACTTTAGGAGGTGTCCCGATTAAATTCCAAAAATTGTTAAAATAACAACTATCTTAATACATATCTATATACCATATACCATATATCTTAAACCATATATATAAAATACCGTCACACTGAGAAAAATAGTTGTTAATAAATAGTTGTTTCACTAAATTATCTTACTTCGTCTTTATCTTCTTTCATAGAGAATATATAATTTTAAGTTAAACATTTTATATATTATATTTTACTCAAATACACATATTCTTAAACAATATTAAATATTAAATCTCATTCGACCGTACATGTGAAAATACAACCATAGAAATAAATGCCTTCATCAGTAGTTTAAGTTCGGATCTACAATAAATGTTTTAAGTCTTAATCCGTAAGAATTTGACCAATTTCAATCGAATGTGAGGAGACTAATTGACTGTAATTCGTCCAATTTAGCTAAACCTGTTGTAGATCCGGACTAAAGGCTTAGGGTGCTGTCACATGAGCACGGAAAATCGGAAAACGGAATCGGAAAGGTGAAGTAGTAGGGGCAACCAATGAGCATCGTTCTGATTTTAAGTAGCCTGGCTCCCCATGGGGCATATTTTTCGGAAACGGAAATTTTTCGTACTAATGATCACCAGTGATTACTAGCGATTAAGAATAATATTGAACAAATTCAACTTGAGCATTGAAAAGGTGGAAAATGTCATCTGTAAGTATTGTAATCATGTATGTTAAACTATTTTATATTAGATTATAATGATAGTTTTGCATACATTTCACTTGCTTCTTGCAAGCGCCTTCCGTTCTTCGGTAAATATTGGACGTACTCAAAATTGCCGTTGGTTCTTCTGATTTTCTATTCTTTTCATCATTCTATAAATACCAAAAGCTTTCAGTAACTGTCTTCTTCGAAACTCTCATCGCCAAAGTAACTGTGGAGTTCTTTGCCATTGTATTATATTTTTTATAAGAAATAATCGTGCTGTTTTCGCTTTCATTTTTTCAAGAATCAAATAAAAAATATTTAATATGTATAGAGTTCTTAATTTTCCAGAAAAATAAAGTCGAGGAAAAAATACTGGGTTTCTTCCAGTTTTTTCTGAAAAATGCGGAAAAATTTAAAAAACGCTCTTTTAAAGTGTTCTTAATTTTCCAGAAAAATAAAATCGAGAGCAAAAATGTGTATTTTTCGGTTTTTTTCCGGAAAAATACGGAAAAATTAAAAAAAAATATTCTCTTATAATATTCTTAATTTTCCAGAAAAATAAAATCGAGGAATAAATTAAATTTTTACTATTTTTTCCAAAAAAATATTCTTTTAATAGATTCGTTTTTACCTATATTTGCATTTTTAATGATAGAATGTTGCTTTAAATTATTTAAAAAAAATATTTTATTTAAAAAATAGAAGATTTGTCTCAAATTTCAAATACAATGATACGATTGATACGAATTACGAACAATACGAATGAATACGAAGATACGATTGACATGATTACGATATTTACAAACATATCTGCAAACTTTGTCGTACAGCACAGCAATACGTATGTTAGTCACGTTATGTGTATGGTTTCTTTTCTGAATTAATATTCAACGTCTTTGTCATGATTCGTTCATTTTCCACCAGAATTACTATTTGATCCAACCAGACCATTTTTCTCAGTATAGAGTTTATACGGTTCAAACGTCAAAGTGCTTTTGGTCCGTGCTTGAACACAATTGGGTACGTCAATGCAGTATCGATCGGGACCCTTGGTATAATCAATCTCCATCAACGGTTCATCAAAAATCAATTGTTTTTACAGTGCCGATGTTGTACATTAATGCTTTTAGCACTGAACGTTCAGTTCTCTTCCAGTGGCTACCTTAGGCAGGAAACTCAATTTGCAAAATGAAATTCATGGTTGACCGATGATGATCGTAGCGAGATAGGAGACAATCAATCCGCTTGATGCAGCACTACCCCGCGGGGTAGATCGCTATTGCTAGTGGCTGACCTCTGATTCACTAGCACATTGCGTGAATTAGTCCGTGGCGTTTGTTCGCAAAGGTATCATCCAATCATGCGAGTGCATCATACGCCGTGATATGCGTGGCTAAGCCATCTACCTAAATTGAAGTTTCTATCTTTCATTGCCATTTAATGCCAATATACTGAATGTTATCTAGATACTTGTCTCTTCAACTTTTATACATTGTTAAAAGCACCGTGGACTGACTATTTAATGAAGATTTTGAAAAATAAAATTTATAGGAAATGAGAAGACTTGAAAAAAATTTCTGAATATGTGCTAAATTATTTTGCGTTATTATAAATTTTAATCTCGACAGAAATGTGTAATACAAAAGGAAAATCTTTTCTATATATAAACGCGACGATTACCAATTAATTTTTATATAATTGCTTAAAAAAATATCTAAAATCCAATATTATAAATATATTTTTATATTATTTTATTTAGACAGATTGAAAATTAAATCTGTGAGAAGAAAGGTAATTTAAATCGGATTCTTAAAGAAATTTCTTTTTTTGAAAAGAAATCACAAATCTCCACTTAAGCCACGCTTGCCCGCATGAAAATTAATTTATACGAATTCAATATAGCTTTCGTGGTAAAGAAATTCAAACTACAGTGCACAGAAAAGTCTTTAGAAGGAGGAAGAGATCTGATAATTGCGTTTGGCTGCCGTTTTCAACGCGCGCTTGGAAATTACGTCCCGGAACTCTGACGGCGCATTAAATAGCCGGCAGACATGTTCGCGCGCAAAACAATGAGAGACTATAGAGATCGTTTGCGACACACACGTCGACCAACCGGGGATTTACGATGCTGTGGGTGCTTTCCCTAGTCTTTGTTCTAACACGACCAAGACGTTGCAGGCTCTCTCCGGGCCAGTATTGTAGCAGCACAGGCGTTGATGCTTGAAAACTTCCGGTACTAAACATTTATAACGTGTTCCTGAATTTGAATATCTTCGTGATTCAAAGTTTATGTAAATTAGTCAATTCACCGATCATTTTATTATACAGGGTGTCTCACAACTACCGCATTTCCTCTTAAGAATGTTGTTCTTGTGAGGTAATTTTGAGACGAAAATTCTAATATAAAAATCGCTTACATCTTTCTAATATAAAAGTCGCTTACATCTTTAGTATATATGGGTAATTTCGAATTTAAGAAATAAAATGGTTACATTATAAGAAAAGTTGTTCTAACATATTGATATTTGTCATTCTTTATTTTTTAATACATGAATAATATTCTAAAAACAGACAGTATCAATCAAAAATTTTCAAGCATAAACATACTTTTATTTGACTAAAAAAAAGTATCTACGTATATTTAGTTTTAACTAAATATTGTGTTTCAATAATCTTCATAAATCTATTCGTTAAAGCTAGAATATTGGAAATGTTTAGAGCCACTGGATTTTTTAAAATTATGCATTAGAGATTGGCAATTGAGAAAATAAAATGTCGGTTTGCGGCAGCAAATTGTGTTAAATTTGCGTAGCAAACATGCAACTACAGGTTGTACTGTTTACGTTGCAGGTGTCCTGGATGCGCAAACGGGACATGCACATCCTGAGCGCTGGCATCTTCATGTATACGTCGGACCTGAGGTTCCAGGTGATCCATCCGGATAAGTCGGAGAATTGGACGCTGCAAATCAAGTCGCCGCAACAGCGCGATTCTGGCGTGTACGAGTGCCAGGTCAGCACCGAGCCGAAGATGTCGCTCAACTATAGTCTCAACGTAGTTGGTGAGTACCGCTTGAATTATTTACTCGTCGAGCTCAATTACGTAAATTGCGGCCTTGACTTGATTCTGTTCGAAGTCTTCTCTCGATGGGAGACGAATGTTACGGCTGTTTTTCGATCGGCTGCTGTCTCGGAGAAAAGATTGTTCGCGACACGAGCCGGTTGGCACGATCGAACGGGTTAAAGTTTAAACGCTTAAGTGCTCCGTCGTGGGATTATCCTCTCGATGTCGCGTCGTGTTCTAAAATCCCCGTCGTTTGAGGATTAACGAGTTCCAACTCGCCAACGACATTGAGATTTAACGATTATGAAAAAAGCTACTATTATAGCATTTTTTAGTACGTGTAGTTTAATTGACCAATTTAACTAATTTATACTTTTTAACATTAGAAAATGCTAAAGAAGATGTATTATATAAAATTGATTAATTGATACATTAATATTGACCACTATTATATTTACATGAAAATAAACAGTGGTATTATAAATAAATTTTATAAATATTTATTTTAGTACCTTAAGTTAATGCATCATTTATCGTATGTCACGCTGGCATTTGACTAAAGAATATTATTTTGCCAGTTCATAATATTTGACATATTTATAGCATTTAATATTATTTCTATATTATTAATATGAAAATGGTGATAAATAATAAATTACTCAATGATGATACGGAAATTTCTCAATAGTTATATCGTGTATGAAAATTGATCTCGATTCCATCACGAATGCCGATTGCACAATACAGCTGGCAGTGACATGTACAATTACATATTCATGCAGACACCAGCGTGTCATCAAGTATCATTTTGCATCTCCTTGTCTATAAAATCTATTGCACAGTTACGAGGCAGATGTGTTTTCCCACGGAAAATAACGTTTTACAATTATTTGAAATAAATTAATGCGTTAATTTATTAATTTATTTATCGTGACATTATTGGATATATTTGTCGTTGTGTTTATGCGATTCGCCTTCGCAAACAACGAATAAAAATGTAATTTTCTTGGCTGCGGCAAAGATACAGTGAGAGCACTATTCGTGTCTTCTTTAAAGTTGAAGGCAAGTACGCCGTAAGATTTAGTTAGGCGAAGTCTCAGCGATCGTTTTTTTTACAACGTTCGTGAATCTTTCAGCAGTTTCTGAGAACATTAGGGAAAACGACAACGATAACGCACGACTTCCGTTCCTTCCGTTTGCGAACGTCGTCGACCAAATAAAAAGCAACGAGGGTAGGCAAGGAAGGACGAGTTATTTTGCCATCGAAAGTTGGATCTGAGATACATTATAAACAACATAACTTTGTACATGCAATCCGAAAGAATTTCATATTGGCATAACTGCTGCGCTGAAAATTCAACATTTTCGCTGCTACAATTCGTGATCCGCCTTAAATAAACTTTCATGATAAACATCCGCTATGCTGAATATCGATGCGATATTCTATCGCACTTCACACTCTTCCATTTTACACGATATTAATTGCGCTTACTGTTTGCCATGTGACAGTTTTTATCATTTATGTAAATAAAAAAATATTCAAAAGAAGAATAAAATTAAATGAAATAAACTTATTGAATCCAAAACGAAATTTGCCGATTCTTGTGAGATTTTCACATATTTCGCTTGTAATATCTTTATCCAAGAAATTTTTAACAAAATTAAATGAATCTAATTTTGTATTTTGAATTATGAAATTTCTGGATTTTGAGTTTTTTACCTTTCATATCTCTAAATTATTGAAATACATTTAAAAAAATTTTTTTAATTCTTAAGTCGCAGAATTGTTCGATTTTTAAAATATTACTGTTATATCACGAAGTTCCTGATATCTAAAATTTTTCGATTTGCAAGATTTTTCAACTTCTATATAGATTTCGCCGTCAAGATCTATATAAGATCGTCGCCTTAAAATATGAAGAAAAACTTTCTAGTTTCTTTCGAGAGATGTAAAACACCGATAAAGAAAGCGACTGAAACTTGTTGAAATGGTAGTAGTATGAAATGAGATGGTAGAAGAAAATGATAATTTGTAGATTACGAAAGCGGGGCGGGATATTAACAAAAGAAATTCATTCTTTTTCTTTACATTGTCCAGATTTGTCATTTTATCACGCAATTAAAAATCAACATGAAACTATTCGCTTCTGTTTGCGTATGTAGGACCACAACCGTTGATTTTGAACTCTGCACAAAGCTAAAGAGAAGAATAAGCGATGGGTAAGGAACGGAGAGTACGAAGCGCTGCAGAACGTAAGAGTTCCGGCGTGCTCGATAAGCGGCTTGGAGGAAACACGTCGACGAACCGAAGTCCTTTTCAACCCCTGTACCCACCCTTATACTCCCCTTTTTATGTGCTAAGAGCGCATCGATGCAGGTGCATCTACTCCGTCTAGATCGTTTATGTCTGGTAACGGGGAAGGTTGGCGCGAAATAAATCGTCTTTCTTTTGCACGTTCTCTCATTCGTAAAATCGTAAAACATGAAGTCGACGGCGAGATCGATTTTACAAATCCATTCCGCAAAAAGCTAGAAACGCAGGAGTCCCTGCTGACTGCAGATCGAAATTTCCCATTGGGGTAACTTTGGAAATTCGTGGAAGGGAAAAGGCTGTTTTCTGATAGATCTGTAAAGATTGTCAGTGAGAATCGATAGAAGTGTCAGCAAAAGTAGGACAGATTGATTGAAAAATAACGCAACGAAATAACTTTAATAGAATATGATAGGAAAACTATCTTATGACAAATTAGACTTTCACAAAAAGTAATTTATGACAAGCTGTTTAAAATATAAAAATTTATATTAGAGATTTATATTAATAATATTTATTTACATGTAATCGTATTTCTTCTCGCTTTTATCTTTTTAACTAATTGGAAATATCGTTGGAAATAATTTGTTTGAAATCTCGTGATTTTTATGTAAAATTGCTGAATACAAGAGATTTGGCATAAAATTCCTCCTGGCATAATTCCCGTTTTTGCCTTCGAGTCGAAACGTGTCCTACAGAGAATAATTCACGTACCAAAATTCGCAAGGATAATAAAATTTTGCTAGCGGGCGGAACTCCAATCTCACCACTCTGGCATATATATTCTTGACTCAGCATTTTTTTACCGCAACGTGTTTTCGTCTAGCCGAGCGGCGTAAATACATCCGAATTAACCACTAATGCATTTTTTGCCAGTCGTGCGTTTGTTAAACGTCTCGTCCTGGTTCCGTCAAATAAATTCGAACCCATTTTTCGGATTCTAGTTTTGAATATTAGTTGGTCTTGCGTGAGCTCTCACGAGATTGTATTGATTTGAAGCTCAAATTGCATTCATTTCGATAGTAAAATAAAAGGAGAGAATACAATGCCACTTTGTCATTATTAGATAAATGTGATCATGACTTTATTAAGTTTATTACAGTTTGTAATTTATTACGAGTATCAGCTTAAATTACATATAAAATCAACAAGCTAGTTAACTAAGTGCTGCTTGAAATGGAATTCTAATTCTCATCAACTATTATATCGAATACGTATTTTACAAACATTCTCTCAATTTAATATAAACATTCTATATAAATAAATATGTAGGGAATATATATATAATACGAGTATCCTATATGCATTTGTATACTATCATTTATTACAAAACATATTAACTCTATGAATCTGTACCATTTGGTACTGCATATGGAACAACATTGTGGTTTAAATCTATCCTAGTTCACGATATGGTATAATAGATTCCACGCTAGTTGTTGCGCGATGGCACGTTAATGAATGCGCTTCGGTTGACGTAATCAGCAACGTAATTGCAAATCCGACGAGAGAGTGAAAATGATAATTGGCCGGCAAAGATTTGCCAGGCAACAGTGGTGTCAACAACCGGAGCTATAACGGAGCATGATAAACAATGTATTCAGTCAAATATCGATATTCTCGGTATGTATACCGTGTTCCATTATTGACGATGATAATGGTCGATGTTTTTTTAACAGAAAATAGGTATGTGGCAAATGTTGAATTGTTTCTAATTCTCATCATAGAATTGACACAATTTGATATTTTTAAATTAAATTTGAGAAAATTAATCATTCTTTAAGTATATTATTAATATTCTCGGGAAATCGATATTTTGTTTTAATATTAAAACACAATATTTTTTTTATTTATTACACATTAATACAATAGATATATATATTAAAGTATATTTTATACAAACGATAAATCGTTTCTAATAGAATTGACATAGTTCGATGCTATTTTTAAATTAATTTTGAGAGAATTAATCATTCTCATTATTATTGATACTTTGAGCAAATATTTTGTTTTGTCACTCTTAATATTAAAACATAATATTTTTTATTTATTATTACACATGCAATGATGCAACCTATATATGAAAATATGTTTTACTACATATTATTTCCTCACATTTCGACGATTATAATTTTTAATAAAATTCTGTATTGCATTATTGCATTATATATTATATGTTAAGATCTCATATTAGTAGCTCTGGAAGCTTTGTTTCATTCGGTGAAATAGCCATATCAGCATCCTGTCAAATCAGTACGGTGAAAAACATAAAGATATGAATAAAATAGTATAATCACATGCAGAGATATGTTTTTACTAAAGGAAAATATATGTATAAAAGTGCAAACAATATAGCGAGTGGTTATATACATTTTGTATACGATGTTATTTACTTTTATATTTAGGTTATCTTGCTTTGAAAGTGATACAAACAAACATCGTCATTTTTTAAAGAGAATGGTAAAAACATTTCTTTCTGTAATCAAAATATTCTAACTCGAAAATTTAAAAAGTTAAAATTTCCAGAAAAGAAAGACTACGAGTCAACGCAAGGTGTAAAGTTCTAATATAATTAATCTGTCTTTAATATTTATCCAATCAATTTAAACATACAATCGTACAAACGTTTAATTAGTCAAAATTATTGTGTTTTACACTGAGAATGACCTAATAAAGGTTGAAATGTT